GCAGCAGCAACACGGCAATTTCCCCGAGGAATCAATAAAGTCTTTAATCTATAACCTATCTAAAGGGACATTCCCACTGTTTCATAGTCAAGGACTTGTAATGAGGAGCGCTGCAGGACATGGTCAGGATGTTTTGTTTTTAATTCCTTCATTTTTGACCGAATGCACGCAAAGCTGATGACATGTCAGTCAGCCTCAGTTCTACTGTGTGTTTAGTGCTGATTCACAAATGTTGCTATGAAGTTAAACTAAATATGATAACATTATAACACTAAGAAGGTGACCATGTTGTGCTACAGCTGCCATCACTACATCACTCTTCTTATTATTACACCTTCTTTTGGTGGGAAAATTACGTTGCAGGAGCACAGTTTCACTTGTTATAATATCAGTACAGCCGTGACTCAATAATCCGACACTAAATGTAAAACCTTCTTCTATGTCAGATATCAAGGCTGTCGGATTGTCCAGACGGAGGTCCAGATACGAGGAGGGCTTGATGCTGGAAGGATCATTAGTTGTTCATTATTGTTCATAGTTGTTATAATAACTAGTAGTTCTGGTCCCAGTAGAACTTTCTGCTCTCTGGATGTTCAGGCCCAATTAATGATGAATATCAGAACATTCTGTGCGGTCGGGGGACACTTCCACCCCGGGGCAGCGCTCTGACGGGGTGGAAGTGTCCAGAACACACAGGCAGTACTTGGCTGCTGATGCTAGTTTAGTTAGCGCTCACACTTCTGTTTCCTCCATCGGTGGCGGCGGGGGAGTGGCAGATACGCTCCACCGTTACCATCCATGTTTACTTCCATAAACACTGAGCACGCTCGCTGCGTGTGACGTCGTCGTGTCCTCTTGTGCGCATGCGGGACACTTTTGGCTCGTATGAAGTTCACACAGCAGATCACATACAAGTCGCATTGAAGTGGAAACGTGAAGGAAGTCACAAAGAAATCCTCATTGAGCATCAAGTCCTGCAGTGTGAACGTAGCCAATCTGTGGGATTGTTCAGTCAGATAATACGCCGTCATCCTGATTGGTGACATTAAATGTCATGTCGGAGTCACAATCCAAGGCTGTCGCTATGTTAAGGCTGTTTTTATGGGTTCTGTTGGTTTTTCCTAAAAACCTGTCAGATAGCAGGTTTAGGATTGTTAAGGGTCGATTATCCAGTCATGACTGTGTTTTAATTACACATATATATTACACAATATTACATTTTCTGATCAAATGCAAAAAGAGCAACTGAGAGAATGTATTTATTTTTTATTTGTAGCATTAATAATAGAAGCTGTTTCTAAAACATGCAGTGAATGATTGATTTATCTTGTTTTGCACCACATAAAGCTGCGTCTGCACACTTCCATCTTCATCAGTGCAGCTGTCTACAGTTTGCGTTTTACTCGCGCTGTAAACATGAACTGAGGAGCGTATTTGTAGGTTATTTGGACGAGTCTATTTACATCAGAAGTGAATAAGACCCTGTGCAATATAGATAATAAAATGTCGTCTCCCCAACACCTGATTCAGTCCTGCAGCCTCGTATCATCTCACTCCTAACTTCACTACTTGGACTGTGGACTGTCGTTGTGGCCAGCTTGACTTAATGTGTTCCCAATATTCATCTGGCTTCTTCTCATATTCTTTAGCAAAGCTTCATTTTGCAGGTTTAGTGCTGTTTCTTTGTTTTTTTCCACACAGTTCATGCAATGAAATGTCCTTTTAGGGCGAGGTTTTTATTCCTGGATGACGCCTGTAGAGGTTGATGTTGTGCAATGTTCTGTCTGAGCTGTCACAGAAACGTTCATTTCTACCGATAACCCTTCTGCCAAGTCTGAAGCACTCACCGCTCTGTTTTGTGTCCCTGAATGCCTCCTGCATAGAAACACAAAGATCTGCTGTACTGAAGCTACTCCTTAATGTAGGCAGCGTGTTATTACTGCTGCTTGTCCTGCTGCTCCTGGTCTGCTCTGGTTGTTTTTTTTTCCACTATTCAATGATTAAAATCAATAAAAACACATATTTGCTGCCTGGTGTAGCCGACCAGCCTCGTCCTGACATGAAAGCTACGGACGTGTTACCATTTCCACTCCGCATGACGGGTGCATCTCAGAGTGACCGCCATTTCCACGCCCAGCAGAGCCACGCCCGTCAGCAGCAGCCAATAGAGAGGCTCCCCTTTAACGGCCACCACACGCCACACCGTCACCACCCCGTGGACCGCAAACAGGAAGCGGCTCAGCAACGCCAACAAGACGTTCAGGAGACGACACATCGTGCACCATCAAAAACCTGCGTGGGAGATAGTTCTGTTATATATCAGAAGGTTTAATGATGATGGAAATATCCTCCTAAAAGCCAAATAGAGATGTTGTGGAGTTTAGGATTTAGTCCCTGAGACGTCTGCTTTCCTATTAGATTGTTGTTTTGGCTCAAAAATGAGTAAAAATCTGTGCAAGCTGCATCACACACGCATCAAAACCCAGGTCAGCCTTCATTACCAGTTACTATTGCATGATGTCTGGGTGTGCAAACAGAGCTCGCCGTCAGTTCTACAGCAGGATGAAAGCTTCTGAGCTACAGTCAATATTAAAGGACTCCTGGAGGGTTTGCTCGTACTTGATCCCTGAATCTCGGTGGATTATTGAAATGATTTATTACTTGAAAGTGGTGGTAAAATGTGGACAGCCTGGCTGACTGTTAAAATGTTTACCGTGTAACCTGGACCGATTCCAGCCAGTCAGAACCCTCTCTGCATTACAATAGCTGCTGTCAGTGTCCACACCTTCACTACATTTATAAATGCAAATTACCAAAAGATCACCACCCTGTTTTTTCTCTCTATAGTAGTTAACGGATCATTCATTAATGCTTTATAAGTTCGTTATAGATCTTCAATGAGAACAGCTTCCTGGTCTCACTGGTGAACTGAAGAGCTTAAAAGAAGCTTGTGTTGGAGAACAGACATTTCTCACAACCTGGCAACCCAAAAACATTTTCCACAGAACGTATATTTTGAGCCTAAAGCAGCACTGAAATGTCTTTTATTCTCGAGCGAAACTCCTGCTGATAGAAACAACCGATCCATGACATTAATTGAATTAGACATGAATTCAGCTCAGGTCTCGCTGTAACTGTTATGTTCTGCATCAAAAACAAAATGTGCCGTGTTGCTGTGCATATTAATAGACTGAACAGAATCCATGCAGTGTGATGTATAATGCAGTCGCATGCCGTACAAACCTACAGAACGAGCCCTTGCTGAGTTTCTTTAGTGTATGTCCCAGGAGTTGGTGGAAAGTGGCGATCCCACGGCAGTCACACGCTGCGACCCGGCCGCTATCTGTCTGCCTTTTAAATGGCAGCCGCCCCCTAGACCGGCTGGAAAACCAGACATGTCAGAGCTGTGTGTCCAGTGGGGAGTGACTACTGGAGTATCAGTGAGCGGTCGTGTGATCCATGTGTGTGTCTCCGTCCCCCCGGTGCCACGGGAGGAGATAACGCTTCCTGCCCCTTGAGCCCACATCTTCATCGCCATCCGTCATGATGTCACCTTCCCTGGCCTAGAACAAAGTTATCTTCCTGGGAGAACCCAGGCGGCCACGGTCCCTGTTCAGAGCCCAGCCGGCCCTGCCCTGCTCCCACCCATGGCCTGCACTGTCTCTGCATTGTTGGCCCTGATAACAGCCTCGCTCCCTCGCCTTTGTGCACACAAAAACACGGAGCAACAAGAGGAAAAGGAGACGCCGATGGCCCCCTGAGCGATGTGTGGGTATGTTGCTGCTATTGCATCAGAATGAGGATGCTGCGTGGGCCGACGCTGTCCAGAACCGTCAGGCCGCTCAACGCTAAAGTGGAGCAACGACACATGACTGACAAGATGCTTTTTATAATTTGGTCAGTGGGTAAAATCTAAACTAATTTTATCAGCACAGAGAGGACGCTGCTCATTTCTGTCACTGAGGCCTTTTTAAACCTGCTTTACATGTGTTTTTTTTTTTTTGTCCGTTTGGAGGCAGCAGAAACAGCAACGTATTCAGAACATATGCATCCAGCAGGAGCATTAGCTCACGTGTCCGTCTAAGCATCTTCCCTTCAAGCTCTGTTTTAGTCTCCACCTATCTGTCTCTGCCTGTACAGCTGAGTATTTCCCCCCATTTTGGCTTTTTTGTTTTTCAAAAGATGTCCTCAGCAACACAGCCACGCTCCAGTTTCATCCTCGGCTGCTGTTGCCATGGAGAAGAAGGCAGCGAGAGGAGCAAATCACACAACACCACGCCGATACAGCTGAGGACAAAACGCAGCTTTACGGGTGGACGTGCACACCTCGGTTGGACATTTGTCAAAGAAGCAGATGTTGTCCAACACATTCCCAGTCTTTTGTGCTGATGTTTTGGGTTCCACGCTGAGTCGAGCTGTTGGAGCGCTCCGACTGTGAGTCACATTATGTTGTGTACAGGAAAAATTAAGATGATTACCAGAGGATGCAGGGATTGTCACAGAGCCAGCGCTGCAACGGAGACGGTACTGGCCTCTCCTGAAACCAGTTTCCAAGTTCAGACAAAGGACAGACAGAAGTATGGAACTGTTAATTCTTGATCTGTAATAACTGACACGTCAATTACTGTTGATTTTGAACATAATGCATGTGCAAAGTAGCATCTGCCTGTTTTTAATCACTCCTAACAACCGTGGATTTATTGTTCAAGTGATCATTTGCAGTCAGGAGAGAGAGACACACACAGGTAGTGGAGGAAGTCCTTTAATGGTGAGGAAACAGGCAGAACTGCAGGAGGAGATAAGACACTCCAGACGGTGTCCTTAAAAATGAACTGAAAAAAGAAATGGGTGGAGGACCAAAGGAGAGAGAGAGAAAAAAAAAAAAGGAGAGGGGATAGCGAGGGTGGGGAACAGGGTGAATGAGTTATCAGCCATGCAGAATAGCAGAACACCTCATCGCCGTATCCTCCGGTCTGGGTGGTGTTTTTCTGAGATAACTGGGGTTTTACTGAAGACTTCGAGTCAGTCGGACTAACTTGTTGTGATTTTGTTTAGAGGAGAACTTGTGTTTGATGAGTTCTTGGGAGTCCTGTGTTCAATATACACACCAGGATGGCATCGTGGCTGCTAGTCAGACTGTACTCACCGGGTCTGTGAGCCTCCAACAGGCAACATAGTCCGTCGCCTTTGTACAACACGATTTGCATTTAAACATATTAAAGTCCTCTTAACACTTTTTTAAACTCATAACCACTTCCATTAATTTTTCCTTATTCACAGGCTGCTATTTCCACTGAAGTTTTTTTTTTTTCTTTTTCTGTTTTTTTCGTCTTAGCTGTGGCCTGCAGTATTCTTCAGCTGCACCACTCTGCCAGCATTACAGTGGCACAGCTCCAGCAGTTTCTTATGTACAGCTCTGGATGGCAGCCACACACACAGACCTGCTGCCTCCGCCTCACATGGTGTAGGCCACCCAGTAGATCACGTTCACCACGGCGAACGTGAACGGGAACACGGCCCTGGCATAGATGTCGATGGTGTCCGCGTCGATGGGCTTGCAGACGCACTTGGAGCAGCACTTCTTTTCCTCCTCGGTCTCCTCGACCTGCTTGGATCGTCTCCTTCTCGGTTCGGCCTCCTCTGTGCCGCCCTCACCGGGGATTTCGCTGCCCGAGCGCTGGGCCCGGCCGTGGCGGTTAGAAATGACCACGCCCTGATTCATGCCGGTGACTGACAGGGAGAACAGAACCATGGCTTGTTTTCCATTCTTCACAATAGACTGTAGAGACACAGAGAGAGAAGAATGAAAGCACCATGTGAGGTTTAACCTGCAAACTACAGTGTAGATAGGAAGACCTGAGCTTCTCTACGAAGACATGAGCCGCCCTGACAACATCCATCCATCATCTCTACACCTTAGTCCTCACTAGGGTCATGGGGGGCTGGAGTCTATCCCAGCTGACTCAGGGTGAAGGCAGGTTCACCTGGACAGGTAACCAGTCTATCACAGGGCTACACTTAGAGACAGACAACCAAGCACACTCACATTCACACCTACGGACAATTTACAATCACCAATTAACCTCAGCATGTTTCTGGACTGTGGGAGGAAGCCGGAGAACCCGGAGAGAACCCACGCTGCACGGGGAGAACATGGAGACTCCACGCAGGAAGATCCCGGGTGTCCTCACCGGGACGCCAACCGGCGACCTTCTAGCTGTGAGGCAACGGTGCTAACCACTGAGCCACCGAGCAGCCCCCAAACAAGATTTGTGAAATTCGGCTCTCATTGATGTATGACTTATGTATGAGGAAGATTAATCACTGATGCAAACATGTTCTTGCCATCACCATCGACTATGACGGTTAAACATCGTAAACTTTACTCATTTCAACTTAAAGGATAGAGAATAAAACAAACTTTCCTCATACCAACCACTGCAAAACAAAACAGAACAAACTCCACGGAGCTGAAAGCAGCACCAACGTTTTCTTATTCTACTTCTCTATATATATATATATATATTTTTTTTTTTTTAAGCTAAATTAGATGCTTTGCAAATTTTGCATCTGTCTTCTCCGACCACAAAAACAGTGAAAAAAAGTAGTTTTGTAGTTTTTGTGCTACTAATATTACACAAAGGATTTAAATCTCTGCTCCTAAAAACTGCATTTTTAACACTTTTTTCACTGAAAACACCAGTGACATGCTTTAACTTAACCTGTTCAGCCCTGAGCTGTTTTTCAGGCCTCTGCAGTTACATACCCATAAATAATAAAACAGTTTATCTCTGCAACCACAAGGTCTGTTTGAATAAGTCTGGTGTCACAATAAAAGGAACACTGGTAAGATCAGACGTAAGGCTGCATCTCCGTCATGATTGGTCGGTTTCAGTGCTTGACACCGCCTTCGAATCATTAGAGCCAATGGAACATAGCAATAGCCACCAGAATGAGATTGACAGCGCTGTTAGCCAATCAGAATCAGGCCTTCAAAAGACGCCCGGAATGATTTCAGTGTAACACAGGAAGTAGTACTAACTGGTTCTGGTGTGGATTTACAGATGAAACAAACTTTTCATGGCTGAACAGCTACAAGGTAAGAGACATGTTACAGCTCCAGTTTGGGTTTGTGCTGTTCTTTGGGTTGTTTCTCGCTGATGCTTTGATGGACATGTCTGGACTCTGTGGACCGTCTGCTTTGGTCTGAGGCCTTGTTGGAGCGTTTAGCATAAAGTACGTAAGAAATGTGGCCAGTGGGTCGACTGGGAGGCGCTATGTCGATGTCCATGTGTGATAATTCATTTAGTTGGTGTTTGAGGTGTGTTTGGGGCGTGTAGACATGTCTGATAGGTTCTGGTAGCCCAGGTTCTGCTGTTTAATGAGACGTGCAGCATCACTATAGTCTGTCATGATGAGTGCTTTGTTTCACACTATGTCTTTGTGTGAAGCTTCAGGGGTTAGTGCGGTTCTGCATGTTGTTACTGGATCACTTAGCACCACAGAAGAACTTTACTGGTGTTTTTAGCTTCTTTCATTTTACCAGTAAACACACCTGTTCTGCATATTTTAAACATCATAACTTATTTTGACACTGATGAATGACGGTCCAGAGCAGTTGTGTAGATTATTTGGCAGCTCCTACATAATGAAGTCTTTACGTCTCAGGTTTGAGGTTGAACTAGTCCAGACATCCAGACATTAGCTCCACATGTTTCTGAGAACATCACCTTGTAATAGTTTAATGTCAAGCTGGGTCTGCTCACTTTGTCAATCACACCAGGTCATATTTTAATCACGTCCCTCGTCATCATACATCTGGCAAGTCATCAGGTTTGTTTCATATTTCTGAATTCATACAAACGTCAATGTACAGAAAGTGCAGTCGGTGTTATTGTGACTTCAGCTGAGACACACATCAGCAACACAAGAAGCAGACGGATGATTTCCCTGCAGGGTGTAGCAGTGCCTCTCATCACACTAGTCTCCTATTACGCTCTGTCCAGATCCGTTGTCTGGCTGAAGGTCAGTGGGATGGATGCTTGTCAACGCCAAGGCTCGGAGGCCCGGCCCGGCTCTGTGTTTGCAAGGTGTGCACATTACTCACAGCACCCCCTGTTGTTATCTTCAGTCACGAGCACATGATGGGAATGATTTCCTCACCTCAGAGCTGAGCTTGTTGGCCTTCACCTTGGCCTTCTCTTTAAGCCGGTAGTCGGCGTTGTAGTGAGCGAAGGCGTACTCGATGAGCGCCGCGAACACAAACACGTAGCAGATCCAGAAGTAGACGTCTAACGCCTTGATGGCCGACGCCCGGGGCAGAGAGGAGCGAGCGCTCACCATCAGCGTGGTCATGGTGAGGACAGTCGTGATTCCTGTGAATAGAACAGAACCACAGTAACGTACGATTAGTCTCACATAGACAGAGAATGGTCTGACTGCATCTCATCATCGTTCTGCTAACGGGGGGTTACCCCCTTGGCTTTTTTTTTTTTTTTTAAGCATTCACAGTCATAGCAGGCAGAGTTAAGTGAAGGATACAGCAGCAGTATTCCTGCAACCCAGTGAAGATAGGAACTGTTTTGGTGGACGTGTCATTAAATGGATAATGTGCCAAAGAAACGAGCAGGCCTGTTTTACTTCATGATCCAAATGGTCTGACTGCCCTCATCGTTCTGCTGTAGGGAGAAAAAAACATGCTCTGGCTCGTCTGTTTAACTTTAAACCAATCAGCATGGTCCTGGGTGGTGCTCAGCCCAGGAGGCTACAGCAGAACAGAGATGGAGGGCCTGTTTTGGTGGAACGTGTCCATGCAGGGAGGCTAGTACCGCCGATAAATAGGATGATTTACTGAGTGACTGGAAGGAAAAGTCAACACGGGGTGCCACTTGAGACCGGCTTCAAAAGCAAGTCAGTCCCTGTACGGCATGCAAAAGTGTCCAAATAAACAAGTTAACAGCCTGCTGGAAAAGAAATGTCTCTATAACCTAATTCCCTGATTGTGACAACTATAGCTCACTGGTTTAAACTGTATTAATGGTGAAACAATTAACGGCGTTGCCACTTTAAGGGACAGTTTGGTACCGTCGTAGGTCAGTCTATGGACCAGGCACATGTGCATGGTCAGCCTCAGCTTCAACCATGCTCCATACTTTAGATCATTTTTGTATTAATTGGGAGTTAGAAGAAGTATTGCCAAGATGATGATGATGGCCAGAGCCACCATAATGAGCTTCAAACCTGCTCCTCAGGAAACCTGTGGGTCACATCATGGAGGGTTCCTCCATCTAATACAGTCTATGTCAGAACCAAGCTGGACTATCTTACTGGGGCGGCTGTGGCTCAGGTGGTAGAAGTAGTCGGTCTTTGATTGGAGGATGTGAACCTGTGTCATGGTCGTTGTGTCCTTGGGCAAGACGCTTCACCCACGATTGTTTGAGGTGGTGGTCGGAGGGCAGAATGGCAGCCAGGCCTGTGTCAGTCTGCCCCGGGGAGCTACCACCAGGATGGATGTGTGTGAATGAATAACAGTGTAAAGCGTCTTTGAGTGTCTAGAAAAGCGTTATATAAATCTGATCTATCATTATTATTATACGATCCAAATCTTTATCAGATGTTTCCATGTTCAGCATCTTGGTTGCTGATCACTCATTGTTGTTTCCTCTAGTGAAAAGCTTTTTGCACACAAATAGCAGACGGGGAGGAGAAAGGTAGTCGTATAGCCTGAGTCTACATCCTAGGCCTCCAAACTATGGCAGTCGTTGCCAAGCTGTTGATCCTCTGATACGCCGCAGTATTTAAAATATCTCAACAACTATGGCTGAGCAGCACCAGCAGGTCCAGGTTGTCGTTTATCCAGCTTGTTCTAAATGGACGTTAATGTGTAGTGATCGCTGTCTGACGGGTTTCATCTTCAAACTTTACACTTTATTTAGCTGTTGAATGTTGTTTTATCCAGTATTCAGCAAGTTGTGCCATCGAAACACAATATTAAAGGAGTTAGGAGTGATTAAAATATAAAAGGCTTAACCTTTTTAGGAGATGAATGAAAACAAAGTCAGAAAAGAAACAAAGAGAAGAGAAGCTCAAATAGACTTAAACTAATACCAACCTAAGGAAACACGAGCAGGGACTGCTGATTGGCTGATCCAAAAGGACACCCAAGACATGGCAACCAGTAATATTGAAGGCATGTACGACTGGATGATGTAGACGCCCCGATTACGTCTCAGCTGGAAGCGAAGGCTGAGCCTTGGAAATCGTCCCGCTGGGAAGCAGAAGAAAAAGAAAAACAAGACACCCTGTTTATATGCTTAACTCAAGAAGCTAATTACCCATCATGAAAGTGTCTATTGTTCTTCACAGGCGCTGGTGTTTGGAGCATCTTTCTGTTAACTCAGGCCCCTCGTGGCAAAATTGAAGATGTAAGACATAAATGATGTTGCAGGCTGCATCTCCACAGCAGCAGCAACTCCTGTCATCTCCTCAGTCTCCTGCCCGGCTCAGCAGCACGTCTGTCTTCATCCATTCCTTCTATGCATAGAATATAACCGGGAAAAAAATAAAAAATCTTGCTTCAAAAAGAATGTGGAGAGTTCTCCAGCACAAGAGCCAAGCTACTGGAAATAGTACACGATGTCCAAAACACTCAGGGCGCTTGAGCTGCTCCAGAACGGCTACACTAGCACCAACTGAAGAAAAACAGAAGAAGAAGAAAGACGCTCACCTGATTTGAAGTTCATCATCTCCGTGACAAAGCGGTAGTCCGTGATGGTGAACTGGGAAAGCTCCAGTTTGTCCAGGCCGTGGATGTGCCGCTGACTCTCTGACCAGTGATACACAATGTCCTCTGAGGAGTAACCGTCTGGAACAAAGAGAAAGAAAAGACGTAGAACAACAAGACATTTCGTCCAGCTGACATTTTGTGCACCGCAAGGTTTGGAGAATTTTTTTCTCCTCAAACTGAGAAATGAGGGAGTTTGTAACGCGATAACCTTTAATAAATGTCAGAGTTTGAACATTGAAATATTACAGCAATGAAACTGAGATAACATTTTATTTCCAAAAAGGACGGAGAAGAAATGGTAAATGTTTGAGATCTCAACTTACAGCTTTCCAAGTCCAGCATGCACTCCTGTTCGTCCATGGGATACTTGGTGAGGTCCATGTCGCAGGCCACCGTCGAGGTGATGCTGGGAGCAGAACATCTGAATCAGAACCTCACGTACATGCCAACATGGTTACACCAGTTTAGCCTGGGGGCCTGCACTACGGAGCAGGGTTTAAGGTTAGCGAGGTGACTTTGGGTTGAACGGGACATCGGTTCCCCTCTTACCGAGATACGTCACCATGGTAACTGCACTACCAACCCAATGTGTTGTTTACCAGATAACAGAATAAAAGCACCACAGACTGACTAATCTGTTGAGGAATGGCTCTTTGTGCCGACAGCGAGAGGGTCTCGTAGGAGGACAAGAGTTTTTAGAAAATGCCTTTTCTTTCCCTGATGAGTGCAGATACAACAGGTATGGGCTTTAAGTGGACGGAGCTTCTTGTTTTAGTTTTTGTGTGATGAGAGCAAGATACTGTACAGAAATATAATCCCAACATAGAGACTGATAAAACACCGAAGCCCTGCACTGGTTGACCTGATAAGATTTGCAGAAAGCCTGCTCTGAATTATGTTTTAATATTTGTTGTTTACTTGCTCCGAAGACCATCCAACAGCTCCAGGGCTGCAGCTGAAAGAATCAGGCTAAAGCGTGTCACATGAATAGATCACAGCTCAGCATTTAGCCTTGTGGAGCGCTCGACTACAGCCGGACCTCTTTGTGCTTAATACGGGTCAGCGATAGTGATGAAGTGTTGCTTGTAGTCTGCTCTACATCTTCTAGTTTGTTCTTCTTGTGACGAATATGCAGTTCTAGACCTGTTTGTGATTGTTCGTCTAATCCGAAGCGAACGCCCTCGTAGAATCATGCTCGACGCTAAAGTAAGGCAATTTAGCAACTTGAATTAGTTTTATTTCACTGCTATTTAACTCGTCTTTAAAGTCCGGGGTTTGCTCCTGACAGCGAATGAAAACGGCTTTCTTTTAGACGTTAGCATTAGCTAGCTAACTATACCTGCTGTCATTGTCAAAGCACAAAACTGGTTTCCCGGAGGTTACCTTCATTTAACCAACCTACTGAACTAGACTAGCGCAATTTAGTCCAAAATTAGTCATCGCCAGGCGAACATTTGATTTATAGTCAATCTTTATTTGACCCTTCAGTGACCTTATTGGTCGTCCTGAACGCCACCTCTTTTATGTGTCTAGATTTAAAAACCCTGGGATGACTTATTGAGTCAATAACCAGCTGGGTGTGAAAACTTTCCCTGACTGTGGCTGTTGGGTGAAGCCAGACAGTGAAAGCACATCCTGGGTACGTTGAGCTTCCTGGTCCAGACCCCTGGCATCATAAATCCAATATTGCCTTTTCGTTCAATCATAAGGAAAATATCCGACCCCTCAGTGAAACAGTCCTCTGTGCTGCTCACCAGCTGGTTACTAACTTCTTGTCTTTTCTGACTGGTGTTGAACATACAGGGGATTTTTCACAGATTTCTTTCTGAAAATAGCTCGCATTCAGAAACGACGCTAATGAGAACACTAAGACCGAATCAAGAGCGTAAAGCTGCGGGCAGTAAAATCCAAACAATGACATGAAAGATGCTGAAAATCTGTGTTGAACTAAGAGGGAACTGCAGAGTTGGCTGATAATTGTCTGTCGGCAGAGAAGAGAGAAGACAATAATGTGTTTGTCTGTACCGGCTGCTGTATAGAATGACTCCATTAGGCTGCAGGCGGATTAGCTTGTTCTCCACGGTGACGTCGTGAAACCAAGCAGACTTGGCGTTAACGATGAAGGTGTCGGGCAGCCACAGCTTGTCCACAAAGCGACTGTCCAGACCCAGAGTCTTGTTGGTGTGGTTGTAGGACAGGCGGTCGTCGTGCCAGCTCTGCCGCAGGAACACAGTCATGGTGTACTCCTGTCAGGAACACCAGCAAGTTTAAAGAAAACCAATATCCATATAATCTGATACACAGAGTTAACTCTTCATTAAGAACAAATCTGACTTTTGAAGACAGTGCAGAATCATTTACAGCCGTGACTCGATGATCCGACACTAAATGTAAAACCTTCTTCTATGTCGGATATCAAGGCTGTCAGATTGTCCAGACGGAGGTCCAGATACGAGGAGGGCTTGATGCTGGAAGGCTCATTAGTTGTTCATTATTGTTCATAGTTGTTATAATAACTAGTGTGTTGTTAGAACACGACGCATCGCTGGATAACTGACCAGCGCGATTGTGCACGTTCTGACCACTTCCACCCCGGGGCAGCACTCTGACGGGGTGGAAGTGTCCAGAACACACAGGCAGTAGTTAAGATTATTGATATTGTCTTAGGTGGACGATGGAAAAGTGGGTTTTCTGAAGGTTTGTGAAGACGGAGTTATCTGACTAGGACGGTTACTGTTGCCATAGTGACTCATGAATCGACTGGAGTTGATTGTAAGCTGTGTTGTTGGAAAACAGGCTAAACTGTGAGATGGCTTTGTTGGTTTGTTTAAACTTTTTAATTGCATGTTTCAGACATCATATCTTCTGCTGAGTGTCACTGGTGGCTCTGGACCTGGAGATGTTTATTCACTTTGCTGTTGTCCAATTGGGAAAGATGTTGTTTCTTAGTTGACTTGTGTTGCGTCTATTTGAACGTGTTTTCTTCTGCGGTGACGGGTGCTGCAGTCGTAGGACCACAGTTTTAGGACGCTGGTTTTCATGACACCTGCTGAAGTGGATTTTTAAGAATATTAAAACAAGGTCCACATTTCTGAACAAGATGGAAGCCAATCAATTATCGTTCGCTTCCCAACTAACAACCCAGAACCTGAAAGCACTGTTTGGGTGGAATAAGCCTTTAAAGCCATAAATCATGCAGCATAGCAATCAAAACTTTAGCAGGTGGGGCTGTTGCAAATAAACCAAGTTCAGCGACCCTGAAAGTGCAGCAGAGACGACTGCAGCTCCACATAATGTCGATGGAATCAGAGCCGCACACAGAACCGTCCCACCGGGTTTGGTTCTTAGTCAACGAAATCCGTGAAAGTATGAAATTATCCAACAACTCAGCCGACGTGTCACACGTGTTCTCCAACACCTCAAGTGGGATAAATCAGGATTATGCAAATGGCAAATCTTTGATCTTTACTGCAAAGTGAAGCTGAGCGATGATGGAGGAGAAAAAAGAAAAAAGAGCAGAGAGTGACGGAGTGCTGCTTTACCATGTTGGCCTCGGAGATGTGGTCGATGCTGGCCACCTCGATGGCCATGGCCACGTTCACTGGTGGACCTGCAGAGGAACAAGTGAGAAAACAAGGCAAACCTTCCCCCTCCCACACACACACACACACACTCACACACACACACTCACTCACACACACCTTCTCTGCTCATTCTGAATCCCATCGGTCCCTCCCATCCTCACGCCATCGCCCATCTGTTTCCCTCCCACCCGCCGTCCGCCCACGTCTCAAACACTCCTACAGTGCATGGAGATTAGGCATTATCCAGTTTAACCATGCTAAGTGGCACATCACACTGTGGGCATTCATAAACAGCGCTGGCTTTCATGGACTCGCGCAGAGTGAACTTCTGCCAGCAGCCACACATACACACACACACACACACACACACACACACACAGAGAAATGCAGCGTTTTTGCTCAACAGTTTGCCGTATGATTAGCATGGAGTGGTGATCGGATGCTAGAGGGCAGAAACCACGGGGGAGCTCGATGGTGCGGAACAGAGAGGCTATTTATACCCAACATTGAGGAATCACATATTGCTATTCCCCGTCATTCAACCCCGTCACGCCGCCGTTCCTGGCTGCTTTTATTGACCACACGCTGGATGCATGTGGGGTGGTTTTGCGAAGGCGTGTTTGTTGTGTGTTTAGAGCGTGTGCACAAGCTCCTGTAACAAGTGAGGAGATGCACAGACTGATAGAACACATGCACGGTTTGGAAGTGCAGGTTTGGTCAAATAACTTCACAAACGTGTTGTGCATCATATAAATGCAGTAACGTTTGCACTCTAGAAATCATGACCGCACCTAAAGAAGAGAGCAGAGTAGGAATATGTACTTGACCCCCTGAGGGAAACTCTATAATATCTGGTGAATAAAGTTCCTTTGCTTGTGTTTTCTGAACCCTCTGAACCCCAGAAACCCACCAGCAGGTTTTAATGGTGTGTTGTGTTTTAAAATTCTGCAAAATTACAACATTTATTAGCCAGAAACTGTAAAAACAGGAGGAGCTGCTGGATTTTCAACTTTCCAACTGATGCATCTGTGACCTGCAGCTCCATCTTTAAAGCAGTGGTTCCCAAGCTGGGGGTTGGGACCCCCATGGGGGTCACCAGATCATTGTAAAAATAAATAAAGCCTATATTTATCACATAAATGTGTATCAGGGCTGTCAAAATTAAAAGTGTACACTTCTTCTACTCCTTTTTCAGACTTGTTAATATTATGATTTGATTATGCCATAATATTATTATTCTTTTTTGCTATTTTTTAAATTATTTTCTTTTGTTTTTATATTTTTTCCCCTTCCATTTGTTTGAAATAAATTCAATTCATTCATTCATTCAAAAGAAAATTAACGTGTTAGTGTAAAGAGATGAATCTGTGGTGAATCATTAGTTTTTAACGCATTAATTCATGAAGTTATTAGTCATGATATATTAAAAATTAAATCTGGAGGATCATGAACACAAACTTTTTTGTTGAGTTTGAGAATCGATGCTTTAAAGTGTAAAATTGTGACGTCATTAAAATCAACTTGTGTCACTTTTAAATTTGTCAAAAAAAAAAAAAAAAACATCATCTGTACTAACTATATTCTGTAAAAAACAAAGATTCTGCACTCCTCGGAGCAGCTGTTGAAGCCATTCGTGGTTCAGCTGGAACCAACGTGACCAGAACTTCTGTCTGACCTGCAGGTCAAAGATCTACGTAGTAAAACATCTACAGCATGTCCAGCCGCCTTTGTTTTTTTTACTATTTTGGAGGCACTTGTTTTGATTGCAGACTTTTCCAATTTTTTTGCAAAACAAATATTCAAAGAGCGTCATCTTTAGTTTGTTCTTGTTCTTCTGGTTTACGCCTCTATCACTGCGTTGTGCTGCACAGAACTTTGAGCTCCCTCCTCTTCTAGCTGCTGTTTCCATAGAGACCCAGGACTTTATATCGCAGTGAAAAATGAGCCCACAGTGAGAAGAAAAAACCCAACAGGAGAAGAAAAAAACGGCCAAAACCCGCTCGGGGTTCAGAGGATCGGCGTCTCCTGGGGAGCATAAATGAACCGTGAACCCCCCATAGCAGCACCTCACAAGCTCTGGAGCTGCTGTGCGATGGAGGCGGACACACATGTGGTGAGGCAACAAAAAGCATCAGACGAATGGATGAAATGCGATGCGATGTGAAAATGCTTTCCACAAAAAACACACAACGGCAGTCACAGATCTAAGGAAGCTTTTCCATCTCAGGATGCTCCATTGGAGGAGTTGTGGGAGTTGAATGAAGGGAATAAGAAGCCCAAACAGCAGACATGATTCCCCAATGAGCAGCTCTCATCGTGATGTTTACATCAACAGGAATGACCACATGAGCGGTGATGGGCCGCACAGGACGGCGTGACGGCAGCGCTCTTGCCCCACATTTTCACCTTTGCTCAGCTGAGTTAAGCTGTGAGGTTGAGAAATCTATCGCTGTGGTCATTGGATGTGTCACATTTTGCAGCCATTCTTAGCAAAGTCTCCGGAGCGGGGCACGCCGTCTCCGGCTCGTCCTTCAAGGTCCGTTATAATCCCTTCAGCAAAGCTTTACCTACGCGATTGTTTCGTGTCTTTAGCAAAAGCAGGTATTTGCATGAGATAAATACAGCAAAAACAAAGACACTAATGGGAATGAAATGTGAACGTTCCTGTGCTCGGACTCGGGGTGGATTATGCTAAGGATGGCTGTAAATGTGAGAGGGTGAAATGCAACCCAACGCCACAAGCAGTAGATCTCATACTCACCTCCTATCCCAGGGCGAAAATTTCTGGCATAGCCCTTCATTAAATCATCCAGATTAGGTAACCAGGATATTTGAATGTCTGTACCTACATAGTCCCCAATGTCACTCAGCATGGCCCTAAAGGAGACAAACAGCAGAACACAGCAGCCTTCAGCGGTCGTCGAGCCACGACGTCGGTCCACAGGAGGACCTGGCAGAGCCTCAGACACAGTTAGAGACAAACATGAAGACAAAGCTCATCACGGGGTTCAGTGTTAACGATAACGAGTCTGTCAGTGATCAGGTTTGACTGTCCTGGAGGTAGGAAGAGCGTTCGTTGTATTGCACCACATTCAAACTGAACACTGGGTCTCTATTTTAACAATTTGTTTTCTTGGTTCTAAAGAAGCTTAGTGACTTAGATTAGCTTTTATTTATAGCCCCAATGAGAGCAAATCCTCTCTTTTTCATGGGTTGCCCTGTGAGCATGACAATAAGCAAAAAAACACATTTTACAGCTGTTACTAAAACACAGAATAAAATACAAAAGAATAGACATTTACACAGACGCTCACATACAGAATAAACGCCACAGACAGCCAAAATAAAACACAAACAGAATAAACAATCACAAGTTAGAGATCAAGTTAGAATCACAGAAACACTGGTACTGCTCCAGGTGGGACGCCGGCGCCTTAAACCTGTCCAATGGGATTAGACGATCTGATCTCAGCTGGTTTTGAGTTTTGTTCCAATAATGATGACAGAAAAAAAAAAAGGAAAATGCCCCCAATTTATTAATTTTTTTCAGCATTGCAAAAACATAATTAAATTCATCAGCTGTGCCACCGATCACAGTCGACGGTGTGCAGACGTAACGTTCAGGTCGTGGGGTTGAAGTTGAGGGCTAAATGAAAACCAGTGAACTTTAACACAAATCCAGCAGCTCTGCCATCAGTTCTGCTGCGATGAATTTTATTTATTACTGATTTTTTTTGTTTGTTTTTGTCAGCTGTGGTTTAGAACGAGGCCGATCAGAGCAGCAAGCAAACAATACATCTGTAAAAACAAGGAGCTCAAAGAGGCTAGAAGGGCTGAGAGGAGATAAATAAATAATAATAAAAAGAAATAAAGCTCTATCTAATCTAATCTAATCTAAACACACAGTGTGGGATAACCGTGGTTCATATCAGCAACACGTTTCACATTTGATGCATGTTTATGTAAAAAAAAATATTACTGCTCCTCTGAATTGGACTCATCTCCACTCAATAAGACCTCCACTTTAGTTACCATCAGATATCTGAGTACTGAGCATCTATTTATCCATCAGGGCTGAACAATTACAATCCAAACCACGATTAGAAACGACGCATTCAGCCAGCTGCACCTCAGGACGTACGATGTGTGCTCATAAAGCTGTTTAAAGTATTGATCTGTGTTAGCTATCAGACATGAGCCCAGTCTCATTATTCATCCTCCACATCGTGTCTCATCCAGAGTTTAACCCGTCAGTGATTTTACGTTCATGCCGTCCTCCTCGTGTGACAGTCATTCACACGCTAACCGTCCGTCACGTGTTTGGAATTCACTCCAGGCTTGACTGTGAAAAAGTATTTTCTAAATCAAATTCAACGTCTGTCAGAAAGAATCCTGCGTCTGTATCGTCTCCAAATCCTTCAGCCTCAGTTAGATGTTTAAAAAATCACGTCATGCATGAACATTTAACAGCACAAAAAAATAGATGATTATTGTGGTAATACAGTTACTCAGCACAACATAGTGATTGTATTTGTTGTTTTTGGAAATAAGAGCAGGAAAGTAATTTTATTTATTCTATTTACACCATAACTTATAAATACGAGTCCTACCATTTACATTTTTCAGGTATTTATTATTGATCTTGTGAGTCACAGTCAGTAACACCAACATCAGCAGCAGCAGCAGCATGTGTTATCACGTCATTTATTATCACGACGACAACCCGTCGCTTGTCGGAGATTTTTGCATGAAAATAACTGAATTCTGAGACGCTAGATGTTGCTGCAGAATCCCAACCGCCAGCTGTGTTCTTTCAGCAGCTTGTATTAGCGTTCAAAAGCCGCGTTGATGAAAGGCTGCTGGTTTGTCCACAAGGAGGCTGACGGCAGAGGATTCAGACTGAACAACGTGCTGCGCTTCGCTCCACGCAAACCCCAAACTCTTTTATTTTACTCTAAACAAGTCCTCATTAGACTCCACACACACCAGACAGCAGCTCTGCTTCCAGACGGCGACTCCTCGACTCAGCTCCTCCTCTAAACGTTTCGGGAGGTGACGACGCTGGAATTAAAACTATGATTTTGAAGCGACTCTGTCAGAGAGCTGGAAGGCCCAGAGGCCACACTCACAGCTCTGATGCAGGATTTAAAAAGAGCAGCGCGGCTCAGACGCCACCAGGTGGCAGTTTTGTATTCTAAAACACTGAGCCTGCACACCAACAGCAGCACATACACAAGGTGGGTTTCTATCAAATGCTCTCACTGAAAACAGGCTTCATCAGCAGCTACTCCAGATACACGCTGAACCAGATTCTAGCCATCATCTGGGACTGAACGACACGGGTGTTCTGCAATAAATAAATGGACATAACATCCAAGGTTTCACTGACATTCAGTGTCACAAAGGCTACGGGGGGAATTGACAGAAAAATGGGCCTCATGAGGGCTCGTTCTTGTTGACCAACAATGAAACGCCATCCGGTGACCTTTGAAATAGAGCTGACATTTGAAGAAAGTCAGCTTCCTAGAGAGCAAAGCGTTACAGCACCGGGCTACATGATGAAGCGACCCCCACGGCCAAACACTTACATAGGAAAAGAAAAAACAATCCAACAAAACCCTAAAAAATCATCATGGATCCACGTCGTATGGCTAATTTTAGTCAATCAATGGCGTGTCTAAAAAAAAAAAAAGGAAAAAATGGGGCCACTCAGTGAATTAATTAATCACTATTTGACTCCTGGATTTCTGCGCTAATTGGCAGCTTCTAAATCTGGAAATAAAGAGCTTTTCCTTCAAGAAATCCATGAACACGCCAAGGTCAGGCGGGCCTGGTCTGGTGGAGGGAACGACTCTATTTATAGTCGTGTCATATTCACTCTGCAGAACCTCGAATGATCAGAACTACGAGTCGATCAATCTCTAATTTTAACATTTAAAAAGCCGTCAGTAGCTCTCCTGATACGAGCCGTGAACGTCCAGTCACTCCGGACGAGGACTTCTCTACGGGAGGCTGTTCAACATGTTCTCCTTCAGGTGGATTTGAACCTCTGTTGACTCTAAACATCAGAAACGTGACACCACCGTGCACCAGAGGATTCTCCATCCAAAGACGGAGCAGATTCTGACAACGTGGAAGCTTTTATTGACTCAATTATCAACAACAAACATTTATTTTTAAATTTACTGACATCAGATTCTCTTAAATAAATTGAGAAAAATCTGAGTTTGCTTCTCGTCCAACGGGGAAAAAGAAACGAGCGGCGGTGTGAACATTTGATGGCTTTCTGGGGAGAGCCACTAAACATTTGCGCCTCTCTATTTTCTCACCCTTCCATCCATGACAAACAGCGAAGAGCTTCCGACTGCAGACGCTCGTCTTCCGTCTATATTTCACTTTCATTAAACGTCTCTCGCGGGGCCTGGATCTGCCGTCTGTTTATGAGCTAACATTAAACAGATGGGGAGAGGAGGCTGGAGGAGAGGAGAGGCAGAGAGCGGCACTCTCGCTCAAATTTACGGCGTCTTTTTTTATTTATTTTGCCGGCGTAATGTGCGGCACACACTAACAAGCCAAATTAGTTTTTATATACTGACACTGCTCGTTACCTGATCCTCGCTGTTTCGTTTGTTTTATTGAGATGAGCAGCGAGTGGCATCAAAACCCAATCGAATAAATCACAATAAGACATAAAGGAAAGGCGTGCTGTGTGTGCGGCGCATTAACAGAAACAGTAAAAGGCCTGCGCTGCTTCTCATCCAGAAAACAGACTTTTCATCGACGACATCAGAGCTCTGATGATGTCTGACACTTCAAGTCCCAGAATCAACACACCTCCCTCAATATTTACTGGATGTGTTAAAATAAATTAAAATAATAATTTTTTAAAAACTACTATAATACCTCTACAACAATCTGAGACCGGAGCAGAATGACTAGACACTGATCAAACCTATAAATGTGTCCCAACAAGTCTGTCTACTAGAAATTATATTTATATGCTAATAATTTGTGTTTCCAAGCACAATTAACTGCTGCATTAATTATGTTCACTGGAAACGGGCACCTTTGTACACAACATGCAAACAAAACCTTCCTTCAAAATATCAAAAAGGTTCAGCAAAAATATTAAAGTTTGGTCATCAAACTAAACAAACTGACAACTCTGTGACTTTTCAAGAAATGAATTAACACAATGACTTGTCCCTAACCGAGCGTTATGAGGCCATTCGTCATGTTAGAGACGCTTAGAGTTGACACTGTAGGAAAATAAATGAAGCACATTTTCAGTACGTTTTTCTGTGTTTAGAATGACACGGAAAAAAAAAACGAAAAAAAAAACAGGTGTTGAACAGTCGTGACTCGATGATCCGACACTAAATGTAAAACCTTCTTCTATGTCGGATATCAAGGCTGTCGGATTGTCCAGACGGAGGTCCAGATACGAGGAGGGCTTGATGCTGGAAGGCTCATTAGTTGTTCATTATTGTTCATAGTTGTTAGAATAACTAGTGTGTTGTTAGAACACGACGCATCGCTGGACTTCAGCCTAACTGACCGGTGTGATTGTGCACGTCCCGTCGGTTCACATCAAAGGTAAATACATTCAGACAGCAGCTGAAGTGACCCAAATCCGATTGTTTTTTCTCCTATGTGACCTGTATCTGGTCTTTTCACGACAGTCTGAACAACACAGATCCAATCAATGATGAATATCTGATTATTCATCTGAATGTAGCATCAAGTCCTGCAGTGTGAACGTAGCCAATCTGTGGGATTGTTCAGTCAGATAATACGCCGTCATCCTGATTGGTGACATTAAATGTCATGTCGGAGTCACAATCCAAGGCTGTCGCTATGTTAAGGCTGTTTTTATG